TTCGGGGGGAGGGGGCGGGGCACACCTGCTGCGCCTGACTGGGGGAGGCGGCCGACCGCTCGCGGCGGGTGCAGGTGGGGAGAGGGGGGAGAGGGGGCGGGGCACACCTGCTGTGCCTGACTGGGAGAGGCGGCAGCTTCCCGCTCTCTGCTGTTGTCTGGCGACTCGGTCAGCATCTCCTCCACCAGGCGCCGATGTCGGCCGGCAGCTCCTTCAGCGCCCCCTCGTCCGTCACCTGCGCACATGTCGGCGCAGGTCAAACGCTTTACATTCAGCGGCACAACGCACACACATGTAACAGCTCGCATGCGTCCGGTTTTCATTTAAAATCAATGCGTATTACTTCCTGCAGCAGAAGCAAATGCATGTTCTCCCTCCGACAGCAGCATTACTGAAAACGTGCACAAAGTCTGATTTACAACATGCACAGCAGACTTAAATCAATGGTAGCGGAAAACGCAGAATTCTTCGGGCGCTCGTGACGCTTTTGATAGCATTAGAGACTAATTTGCGAATAGCTCAAATCCAGCCTAATTTGCATCACCTCAAACTCCTTCTTTGGCACCACCCGGTTTGAGGCTGCTGCGGCTGAGGTTGACCCTGAATGTGCTGGAAAAAGAGCGAGACGACGAGCGGTTCTTCAGCTTGGCCATCTCGCGGGACTTCCTGTCCTTGAGCAGCTCGCGCACCACGTTGCGAGCGATGGCAGTCTGGTACTCCTCTTCGATCTCCTCCGGCTCTGGCGGATCAAGTGCAATGGTAAATCCTTATTTAGTCCTATATTCACCCGCCTCCTCGACAACAATGGCGCAGCCAAGTTTGGAGCACCACCTCTACGACGTTACTGCGGAGTCTGGCCTAAACAAGCCATGAGAAACATGCGCACCAGTTAAACATGACGTTCAGCTCTCTTCCGCGCGCCAACCCTTCTGCGTCGGACCACTGGCAGCCGTCCACTGCGTCAGCCTCCCCGCGCCAGGAGGCGGACCTCACCTCTCTGCGCGCGCGAACGGCGGCCGCTGGTCAGTCGTACGGCATCGACGGTCGCCAGCAGGCCGGGTCGTCCGCTGCGAACGTGAAGAGCTCCGAGCTACTGAGGCCCGCTGTAGGCGAGGTCTCCCCGGCTTCCGTGCCGAGCAGCAGGTGGCGCAGCGACGTCTTGCCCGCCCTGATGGACGCCACGCACCACATCACTGGCTGACCGAGATCAGCGCCGGCCGCGCTGCCGGCGGGCGTTGGGACCGGGCGCCAGCGATGTCTTACACTGCCCTTTCATGTGCTCTGTTAAGTATAACTATCAGATCGCAAATGTTTAATCGAACGGACACACGCTTACCGCCATTTCTCGATGGCTTTCGATGGATGATTGTGGCCGTGGTGATAAGCGTGTGTCATCGGCATCGAAAATGGTTGCATGTCCCGCTCATCCCAATGAACCCTACCCGCTACCGGTCTGAATCCGTTTAAGTCCGCTAACTGCTCAGACTGTGATCACTCAGGTCGCTGCTGCAGCCCGGCTGGCTGTACGAGAGCCGCCTGTCACGAACGGCGCGGTAACGGCAAATGACGCTGAAGGACTTTGGCCGGTCTGGTCCCGCCTCCCCTGGCTTGTAACCCGCCTGACGGACCTTAGTTCCACCCCTGACCTGTCGGCGTCTCACTGGTCTGCAGCCATCTTACCGGCCTGTCGTCGCTCCACTGACCTGAAGCCGTCTCACTGCCCTCTACGCGCCTCACTGACCTGTGGCCGCTCCACTGACATGTAGCCGCTTCACTGACCTGTAGCCGCCCACCAGGAACAGTCGGCTGCGGTAGACGGAGACCGTTCCGGATCGCCTCACCACGACGGTTACAGGTCGCGCGCCGCCTGACCGCGCCCAGGATCTCCAGCGGCGTCTCCTCTGTGGGGTCCACGGGCGTCCACCCATCGCCAATGCAGACAACAGCGTCCAGTCAAGTCCATGGTGGCTCGCCGTTAATTGTGCTGAAGCCGTGGCTGTCCGCACAACTACAATCGTTTTAGCGTTGACGGCAGCATTCATGCACGGTGCATGTATTCATGCCCGCTCGATGCTGCACCTTGCCAAACCGCATACGATGCGCCCAATGTCGGCCACTGTGCTGCAAGTCGAGCGGTGTGTCAACGACACGGGCAGCTCCGGCCGGGGGTCCGGTCCAACGCTCACGCCAGCTGTTGCCGCCGCCAGTGTCGTCATCGCTGGCGCATTAGTCGGCGCTGGTGGCTGTGTAGATTAGCAGACTCCCACGCCTATGTTAAAGGGAGCAGCAAATGTTTCCTGCGGCCGGAAATTGCAGCCCACATCTTTCCACCGCCAGCCCATTCATTGCGATGAGTCCCCGCGAGTGTCAGACACAGAGTGGCCACAGCTGTCGAAGCAACCGAAGTCGTCGCCAACCGGAGCGGCTGACAGCGCGCCACGGTCGCCTCACCGTCGCACGTGATCTGGACGGCCTGCGTGTTGCCGTACACGTCGATGAGGGCCCAGAGCGGCCGGTCGGCCGGCACGCCGGTAGCCAGCCGCGTCACCTGGCGATGGTTCACCGACACGTGCAGCTCGCTCTCCTCCGTCAGCCAGAAGTGCACCCTGCCGAACACGCGCGGTCGGGGTGAGCAGTCGCCTCGCTCGCACAGCCGTGTGAAGGATCGCACGGTTCAGATGGCCTCCCGTAGATATTGTGCTGGCCGGTCTGCTCAGCACGTCACAGATCACGAGAGTTTATTTTTTCTGTCTGTTACCCGGCTACTACGCCATGTTCGACGACCAGTCGCGGCTCTCACCCGCCTGACCTACCCTCTCATCTAGCCTAACCTGTCCCATGTTTTCCTCTCACCCGCCTCACGTGCCCCATACGCTCCTCTCAGCCTCTTCGTTTGCCCCATGTGCGGCTTTCACCCCGCCTCACCCGCCCCATTCCCTCCTCTCACCCGCCTAACCTGTCCCATGCGTTCCTCTCACCTCGCATCATCTGCCCCATACGCTCCTCTCACCGGACTCGTCTGTCCTATACGCGGCTCTCACCTCGCATCATCTGCCCCGTGCGCTCCTCTCATCCCGCCTCACCTGTCCCATACGCTCCTCTCAACCTGTCTCATCTGCCTCATACGCGGCTCTCACTTCACCTCACCTGCACCGCACAGCTCACTCCACCTCCCCTGCATCGCGCGGGTTTCACCCCACCTCCCCTGCACCGCGCGGCTCTCACCTGGCGTCGTCTCGGAGGTGCTGCTCTCACCTGGCGCCGTCTCGGAGGTGCTGCTCTCGCACGGTGCGCACCCAGAAGCCGGGTCGCCGGATCAGGTCGGGGAAGGAGTAGCGCGGCAGCGAGGTGAGCGTGGCCGGGTCGTGCCAGGTCACGCCCACGCGCACGGCGCCGTTCCAGTCGGTGACCTGGGTCAGCCGCAGGTGGTACTGCTCGCCGCGCAACAGCGGGCCAGAGCTGGCGAAGCGCAGTGACGCAATGAACGGAACGCTTCTGGTACGGTGTTAAGTCTCGTTCTATTTGCGTGAATGTCAGACGCGGATGTCAGCGCGGCTAGATTTGGCATCAAGTTTTGAATCTTGAGCTTTTGGGAACCGGAGTGAAGGGACACAGCTCGTGATAAGTGAGGATGGGATTAAGACAGACCAGTAAAAAACGGCGAGCTCGGCATAAGCACAGCTGATATCACTCGGGAATAGAAGTAAGAGGTACACCGAGGCTCAGCCGCATCAGCTAATAAACGGACTCCTAGACTCGGTATTATCCGTCCAGCTGACGGGCACCCACCTGAAGGTGATACCGTTGCAGAAGCCCTCGCGGCGCGAGGCGCAAGTGTCATCATTCTCCAGCGACACGTGGGACCCGTGGACGGAGTGGAACTTGAACATAGTCCGCCTCGAGCGCCACCACTTAACGTGGCCTGGCATCAGAGCGGCAACGGGGAGCGTGACAACACTGTTTTACGGCGGGTCTGTCTCTACCGACGTTAGGGCATCATCGTGACCATTAGCGCATCGTCAGCGAATATTTCATAGATGGCCTGTCGTTGTGTTCGCCAGCTGACCCCGGCAACGCAAGTCAGATCGATAGCGGGGCGAATGCAAACTACGCAATACTGCACTACTGCAGAACGCAATGCTGCACTACTCGCCAAATCATGATTGCCGTCTGCACGAACGACTCTCCGGAAACTGAACGAGCTCGCGTGTGTGTACGGCATACCAACCAACAGCACCGCAGATAAATCAGCTTCGCGTGCATGCAGTTTTAGACTGACCGCAACTGGGGTGTTCCGGTCAGGGCGCATGCTGTCTGGAGGCGGTGGGAGGCGCCGGCTCGCCGGCCGGGTCAGCACTGGTGGGCATCGGGCCGCTGTCCGGGCAACCGCCGAATCACATGTGCCCTGGCGTGCGGCGCTCCCTGCGGCGGCGGGGACGCCACAGATCTGGTCCCACGCCGGGCGGCCCAGCCCGGCCTCGCGCTGGAGCGGCGGGACACGGCGGGACACGGTCCCACGGTGGGACACGGTCTCAGGCGGACAAGGTCGGCCAGCTCTCCTTCACACGGAGACAGCCGGTCCCACGCGGAGCCAGCCACGCTGGAACGCGGGGACGGGCCTCACGCCAGGCGTCGGGTCCTGGCCGACAGCTGCGAGGCCACCGCAGCCGCAGGCGGACAGCCCACCTCCGTGTCACGCGGGGACAGGGCCGCCACAGAGCTGCCACAGAGTCGCCACTGAGTCGCCACAGAGCTGCACAGAGCCGCCCCGGCAGGGTCACCCGCGGTACGCCGCCCAGCGCCCGTCGTATGGCGCCCGCCGCCACACCGACATGTTTGGCCCCGTTGCTAAGTAACCAATCGATGTGAAGGTGAGGCCCGTCTGGCGGTCGAGACCACCACTTTGGGCGATATAAAAACGGAGACTGACGCGCTGCCACGAAAAGGCGGAATTTTAGCACCTGCGCGAGTGGATTCTACGGCTCATGGCATTAGTCTGGTCGTTCGTTGCATCATTGTTTCGAAGCCCTGTTTGGTGCACTTTTCAAATTTTGTGTGAATATCAATGTTATGCATGCGCCATTTTGAAAAGGCGCATTCGCGTAGGCTTCCAATTGTTATGGAGTGATCTCACGTTCCCACAAAATAATCACCGAGGGCATAGCTGTTGACGACATGACGGGGTATCCTTGACGTGATGCCTTATGTCCCGTCTGGCCCTCCGTATATCCAATGTTTTTATATATTTCGTTGCAACCTAAAGAAAATCCTGGGCAGAGGTCATAGACCCAGTGGCGTTGAAACGTTAAAACACACTGCAGCATAAAATATTATATATTTACCACTGTTCAGACACACCAAATGATGAACAAGTCAGAAATGAAGCCTCTTAGACTAAGTCGCCCTTATCGTATTCTAAGAGCTTGTTCGAGTTCTGTACACTATCAAGGCGACCCTGTTCAGACTGGAAGACAGTTGGGACGGATGAAATACTACTGACATTGGTCGGAAAAGTGGCCGTCACATATGCCGACAGACTTGGAAATATATGTCTCGACAGGGAGTGGGCTATTCGCCTTACTACGCTGTCACTAACAACTAACAACTATGGTGACCGCAACTTCGGCAATAGTCGTGTTCCGTTTAAACGGCGCGAAGATAACGATCTGAAAGCATCATCACATCTAGGGGCAAAACAATGCATGCATGCAAGCGCAGCATATCTCCCAAAAACAGCACAACAATCTATCAACAAGTTTTGCTGGTCAACCACACGACACTCCTCGTCCACAGAAACGTATCACTGATCGCAGCATCGCTCAACAACAGTAACAGTCCTTCCAAGACGAGACGCACCGTACACGAACGCTCCCTCCCCCCCCCCCCCCCCTGCACAAGCAGGCGCGTGCGTGCTCCACCACATGTCCGCCGCGCAGCTGTCTCAAGCAATCCCCCTAATCATGTCCCTCGCATGAGATGTTCACTCGACGAACCGCCCAGAGTCGCGCGCGAGCTGAAGCCGCGCAAGGCACCACAGGGGACATCGCTGCCCGCGGCGGCCTCCGCTGACGCCGCTGGAGCCGGCAGCTCTAGCCGAACAGACTCTGGAAACCGCCCTGGATGCGGGTCCAAAGGCCACCGATTCCGGACGGCGCCGGCGTGGGCGGCGGCGGCGCGATCGGCGGCTGCGTGAAGTCCTGCCGGTTCACGTCCTGTCGGGCAGCGGGGCCGTCAGAGCCGGTGATGCCCCGCACCGCGCGCGCAGGGAGGCCGCGCGTCACTACCGCCGTCGGCAGCGACGCCCGCCCCGGCTAGACATGGCCCACGTCGATCCCCGAGCGTCAACGATACGGATGCAAGGAGAGCAGACGGCCGCAGCCTTCTCAACCGATCGAGCAAACTACTTTCGATCGCTTTGAATGAATGGCGGAGACGCTGCAACTAGAAGGGATCGCGGCATCGTGTTCGTGGCCACTAATCGGAGATATCGACAGATTCGAGACGGGATACGCAATACTCCCGTTCAACGCAGTACTGAAGCAGAAAGAACGCTGCGATCTGTTGTTTGTTGGAATTGCAGGAACGAGTTCCGTGACCATCAGCAAAACCACGTTTGCTCCGCTCATTAGCAAAGACGGCACCTGAGCCCCTAGCCCGCAGCTACCACAAACAAACAACGCTACTGCAGTCGCATGCTGTAACTTCAACTGGGGCGCCGTGATGTCATCCGATAGCCGTCCTGGACAAACACCGACGAAAGCACGCCATGTTTACAGGCACGGCACGCCACGGTCCCTGGCCTGGGCTTCAGACGGCCGGTGCAGTCATGAGCTAGCACGCGTCTCATGCTCCGGCGCGCACGGTCAATACTGAATGTTTCAGAAAAGTAGCTCCGAGTGTCTAGGCTATCAGTCTGGTGCTAAAAGTAGAACCCGAATCATGCGATAGGTAAAGAGCTGTTCAAACATCGAAAACCCGTCGCGGTATTTAGTTGGTGCAGGCGGCGTTAGCACCACGTTATCAAAGACGGCGCGCCTTGGACACACACCACATGAGGGTAATAAAAACAGGCTATCTCAGACCGAAACATTTGCGGTAAGTGCTGCACTACACGCGTCCTGCCCTCAGGGCGTTCGTGCCCGTCTACGTCCAGCAGGCAGGCCTCCGTCGGCAGCAGAACCTGCCGCACCTACCCCCATCCGGCGCTGGAGCAGTCACAAACCCAGATCGCAGCGCCTGCCTATGGACGATGGCGGCTAGACCGCGATGCACGCGAGGGCCCAGACCGCGACCAGGCCGGCCGAGGCGGCGGCGCCGGCGCCGGACCGCGAGCGCGCCTGGGAGCGGCCGTGCGGCCGCCCCAGCGTCACGTGCAGGTAGTGAAGCGTGCTCGTGCTGGAGGTGACGGTGCGAGGCGGGCCACCCTACCGGCGCGGCGCGGCGGCCACGCGGCCGACCGCCGGGGTCACACGCGGGCTACCCCAGCGCGGTGCAGCACCAGCACGGCGCTGGTCCAGCACCAGCATAGCACCGGCGCAGGACCAATACAGCACGCACCGGTGCAGTACCAGTGCAGTATCCGTATGGTACCAGTGTTACACTTCTGGCAACAAGGCCAGCACCGCAGAGCGACCCGATCCCGTGCTCTTAGCGCGGCAGCAGCTGCTTGATAGCTATAAATGTTCGAGCCACCACCAGAAAGCAAGCGCAAGAGACCCCGGACAGTCATAGCATAGAAACGTGTAGCAGACGGAAGGCGTTTTAAGAAATAAGCCCCCAAGCTGCCAAGCATTCCGATGAAGCCACCAACCATGCATATATGTATGGTATATTCCCAATACTGTAGATGGTCAAGTAGACCACACATTGAGCTGATGGGTCGAGCCGGCCGGGGCCTGGAGGGGCCGAGCCGTCGGCGGCGGGTCACCCACCGGCACTCTGTCCATGGCGATGGTCAGCTCAGTCGGGTACTCCTCGCGCACGGAGAACTGCTGCTCGCGCGGGTAGTAGCCCTCAGCGAACACCTGTCAACGGCGCGCCGGCGCGTCAGGCTGCCGCAGCGCCACCGTCTCCGTACCACCCGACAGCCAGACCCCACGGCGTTAGTTCGGCCGCGCGGGTGGGGGTCAAAGCTGCACAGGAGCGCGGATTCTGCGCGCTTTGTATCTCAGTTCGTACTAAGCCGGCCAACATGACAACTTACCACGCTACAAATGACCGCGACAGTCACGCGTGTCGGTAAGTAGGGCAGAGATGCATGGATTCCACGGTCTAACAAGACCTTTCATCAATCGGATGTTTTGTAAGAGCCCCTTTCATGATAAGAAGCCGTACTATTCGTATACTAGTGGCACTGGAGACCACAGCCTCATACACCCAGTCCTGCACACCGTCAACACAACAGTAAACCGTCAAACAGCATATGTTTAAATGATGATCACAGCGGCATCAACGCAGCAGAATCGAATAGCTAATGACACGCATAAAAGCGGCCAAAGCACTGACGAGAGTTTAAAAAAGCCCTCCCAACAACGACCCCCTCTCCCCTCCCCTCCCCCCCCCCCCCCCCGCTTTTGCTCACTACGCCGTTGGTTGAGGTTTGCCCACCGCGTTGGCTAGGATCACATCATAAAACAACAGCAAACGGCGTCCATTTTGCGGCGTTTCCACGACGACGAAGGATCCGGCTCTAGCCTTGGTGAGTTAGCGCTCGCTTCGAAGCTCACCTCCATGACGTAGGTGCCCGGCAACAGGATGCGCCAGAACTCGCCGTGCTGCGTGGTCTGGAAGCCGACGTTGCGGCCCTGCACCTTGAGCGCGGCGCCCTCGATTGGGTTGTTGTTCCGGTCCGTCACGAAGCCGCGCACGCCGCGGTGCGACTCGGCCACGAACTTCACCAGCGCCTGCGGCGGCCGGGTCGGGGAAGGGTACAGAGTGCAGACACAGCGGGCATGAAACTCATCAACGACTGTGCCGGGTCGGCACAGGGTCGTCAGGGTTAAGAGAGACGTCAGAGAAATCGACCGCGCGCGCGGCAGTGGGCCACAGGAGTCCACCAGAATAGCAGAGCAGCAGGACGGCACAGAAAAACAAAAACACGTCGGACAGGCAGTGGGTTCTCCGCACGCAATCGGCATCGCACTAACGAGACACTTATGCGCTGCGTTGCCGACTTCGGCGAAGAGATGACATAGTTTAAAACATGGCGCGTATGACAACAGCCGTCCAAAGTGGACCAGGCGCCTGCGGTGTAACGGTGGAGTCGGGCGGGCGCACACACCATCCGCGAACTGCGCCAGACGCTGGCGATTGTGGCTCACAGTGCGAACAAACCGAACTGTGCTACGACTGTGCGGTGTAAGGACACGCGCAGAGCTGAACTGACGTCGAGTCCGTCACAGCAGACAGCATCTGATTTGCAGCATCCAAGGATGCGAGTGCGCAAACGCAAGCTTCAAAGCCCATACCAATTTGAAAGCCAGCAAGTCTTAAATAAATCAGTCCGAATCTTTTCAATTTATGGATTTCTGGCATCAGAGCTCTTTTCCAGGTTCGATTCCATCATCAGATCAGAGCCCTTATCCCGCTTTAGGATCAACGGCTGAATTTGCTGAGACAGTTTAACGTGGCGCAATGTTCGGCACGGTCCGCCCTGCCCTCTGACGTCACCCTGACCTTTAGTGCGGACCGCTGCCACCGGCCACAAGTCATCTCAGTGAAGGGCAGGTAGCCACCTGCTCAAGTGACTCAAACCCACCGTGTCGCGGGTGGGTGGTTCGGAAACCAGGCACTCTAAACGACTGAGTGATCGGGACAAACACAATTTTGTGCTGGCAGCCCCTTAAACTATTTAACGCCGTTTAAAGTAATCTGTAAGACTGTCCTATCCAAAGCGATGACCTTGCCACCACCTCTCTACTGTGAAAATCGGACTGGACGCCAGTCAGGCCCTGGCTCCCGGTGGAGGGGAGGGGGGGGGGGGGTTGCGACCCGCCGGCCCGCTCGGCTCACCTTCCTGTTGTCGTGCCAGAAGGAGCGCAGCTGGGAGGCCGGCGGGTACTTGCAGCAAGAGAGCGCCAGCGTCAGCGCCATGCAGCCGTGCCAGACGTAGTTGAAGTCCTGCATACCACCTGAGCAGGCAGAGCAGGGCGCCCGTCACTATCGGCACTTCCACCGGGCAGACCAACTGTCTACCAACAGCCTCGGATGACTGTTCGTCCCTTCTACAAGCCCGGGTACCGAGTCGCGTACCACGCTCCATGATAAACACCAATAAGGCGGCTCAGAAGAAGGGGCGACACGAACCACCCACACCAGCATCAAGAGTGCAGCACAAGGGGCAGCACTGCCACCGCGTGCGTGCGGCTTCGCCGTCGGCGCGCTCACCAGTCAGCGGGTACCACTTGGCGCCGTTGGTGATGCCGTCCTTGAACCGGTCGGCGCCCAGCTTCCCCGGGCACGGCGCGCCCTTGTGCATCTTGAGGTGGTTGAACGAGTACACCTTGGCCAGGTGGCGCATGGTGTCGTCATCCGGCGAGCGGGACTCGGTGCTGCTGAACTGGCGCAGGACTGCAACGGCGCGACAGGCACGTTCTTCGTCAGCGCGGCAGGCTTGTCGGTCGGAAGAACAACAGAAGCAGCCGTACGCCACATTCATCAAATGAGCTCGCGATGAAAGAGAACATATTCTCAGAAAAGAAAGCCGTCTCTGCCGTAGATAATGCTTTTTAACAATCCCTTGGATGACGCAAGCCTAAAATTGAGGAATCGATGCTACATCGGAGAGCAATGTCCCTTTCCAAGGCATTCAAAACTTCAACCTCGCCAAAACGTGACCGCTGCGGTGTAACCAGCCGGCCTCGAGATGCCCGTGGCGACTCGGCCCGGCCGTTCCGGTGCTGGGACCCACGCCAGCCCCGGAGCCTCTCCCGGACCTGGGAAGCGCACCGGCTCACCCCCGAGGCGAGACGACACAGGCAGCGGTCGGCGTCCCTTGCCACACCCGCGACGCGAGGCGGCGATCACGTGATCTGGGACCGTCTCGCGCGACCGGCGGTTACGTCGCTCCCAGAGCGGTCGGAGATATCTCGACACAAGTGAAACGGCACATCATTCTGCACCAACACCAGGCTGGGAATTTCCCCCAGGCCCCACCCGAGCCGAAGCGAGAGCCATCTGCTCGGTGTTGTCTACGAAGCTACGGTCCAGGTATAGCCCAGTTAAGGAGCGCACTGGTCTGTACCGACACTGGGCTGGGACCTTCACCACCGGCTCCACGGGCCCATGAAAGACAGTGCCGTTTAGGCGTCACCGACAAAGCCGCGGTCCGCCTGGGAATCGCCCCGCCCACGAAGCCCCCGTCCATGCTCGCGCAGCGAATAGCAGCAGGTTTGAGAGGAGCACGTCGTCTGGCGCAAAGGCAGAGGAGCCCGTCACGTGTGTTCAAAGCATAGGATGGTGCTGAAAACGTAACAAATTGCCGGAGCTACATGCATACAGGGTAGAAGCCGACATGCAGTGAAGGACGCCTAACCTCGAATTCCCTGCAAGCGCGACAGTGTATGGTGTCAGCACTAGGCTCATTTTGTTTGGTTGGCATAGATCTCTGTAAGCCTCGTGTGACCATTTTCATGGTGGATTTAGGCTGCCTTGGGCCGGTGGTGTCATGTTGCATGACGCGAAAGAGATCCTTCTGCATTGTGTGGTAAGACAGAAGCAATCATATTTTTTTCTCGTCGGACTAGACGAGCTTTGCCGGAGTGATGGGCCTTCGCTTTCAGTAAGGCGTCTTTCGCGACATATAGTCAGCGGGGTGGTATCAACTGCGAGTGCTGTCAGTTATCATTAAGATCATCCAAAAACCACGCTTATGAAGCCAGGTGCCTTCGGAAACCGAAACCAATAAGCTTGATAAATGCGCTTAAAAGTCTATTTTTTATAAGCAGCTTTCATAGAAATCATGCGACGAACTTTATAAAGTAAAATCAGCGACCGTGACAGATCCGACGAGGTATCGTTCATTCAGTCCGGGTTGGCTTGGTGCGCTGAAAGAGGGATCGTGCTTACACGGTCTGGATTTCGCGATCAATTAGGAGAGAATATTTTAAAACAGAGTCAGCTGGCCAAGAGCAAAGGCAGATGGGTGAAGTCTTGTTTTGATTGTCTTGTATCTGCACTTAGTGGACCTGGAAGAGGCGTACCTCGGACAGGTTCCGACACTGCCGCTTGGAGGGGCTGCAGGAACGGATCATACCAGGCGCGTCCTTGCCGACCAAACACCGGCTCCTTTCGCACCGCATTACCGTCCTCTGTCGGTTGTCAGGCAAAGCTGCAGTTTCTTCGTCAGTCACAAGTGCTGGTAAGGGGTGGGACTCAATGGTCTTTGAATGTTATCACATCTCAAGCATGGTCGGGGTGGAGAGGACGGCACGTGGTAAACGTCAGGCCACGTCAGTCGAGGAAGGGCACATCATTCGAGCAGACTGTCCGGGGGGGGGGGGGGGGGGGCACATCACTGGGGCGTGCTCTTGCGGCAGAGACGGACGACCTCCGCAGACTTTCTGTGGTCTGGTTTTACCGATGGTGTTGATGAGGTACAGCAAATGGCATTATACGTGCGAGTTGATAAATTCTTTCCTCTCACGAATCTAATGAAAAAGGTTTGACAAAACAGTGTTGCAATGCACCATGCTCATGAGACAAACGACACAGGGAGTTGCACGACGAAAAGGGACGAATCAGTCGCGGTATGGGGACGGCGAACGGACCGACAAGCAGGCACGATAAAAGCAACAGACCGAAAGCCGTGGACGGAGACAAGAAGCGGAGAGGCACGCGGAAGTAGAAGAAGCAGAAAAGCAAGAGAACCGGGGGGGGGGGAGGGGGGCTACGGGGAGTCCGCTCACTGGAGTTGGGTGTGTTGTCGAACGGGTAGCTGGCCACGAGGGCGCCGCCATGCAGCTGAGCTGACAGCACGAACTGGATCTTGTTGATCCACTCCTTGACGGCATCCGTCTCCTGCTGCGACTTCTTGTTGTTGGTCTTGAAGTAGTCCGGGAAGTTGCGGTTCAGATCGTAGCTCAAGGAGTTGAACCTGACGACGCAGACGGGAGATGAAGGAGGTGATGTGACGCAGACGGGAGATGAAAGAGGTGATGTGGCGCAGACGGGAGACGAAGGAGGTGATATGGCCCGCCTGATGGCAGCTGCAGCAGGCCGAGCAGCCACGTGACATACCACGTGACACGCCCTGTGACATGCCATGACCTTGGAGCCCACGGTGAATACCAGGCATCCGTGAGAGTCAATGCGCATCATGACGTCTGATCCCAAACACCAAAGCAGCCCGTGGTCAGGACATTTCACGACAGTTCGACTGACGCCGAGCACCACCAACTGTCAAATCGTGTGAGAAAATGCGCGCATACGCATACCTGAGGTTCTAAATTAATGCGAGCAAACTCCAGCTCGACCACAGTAGCTGCGTTACAACTTGGGAACACTTGTCGGGGGCCACACGGAGAGGCTCTCTTGTGGTTACCTACGCCTCGAAAGAAAGTGGCCGGCCGCTGGCTGGCCAGTGGTCCGTAGAAACCCTTACATGGGATCCAACCAACGGCACAGTCAGACCATGCAAGCTTTCACCCCAGTGAGGCAACCGATGGCATGTATCGGTAATCAACCGCACCAAACATATGACGTGGGATCTTGGTGCTGCGGCGGTGGACACAATGCATTATGTGCTGCACTGCGGCAGTCGGGTTTAGCCGTTTAGAACATCAGCAAGCATGGGGAATACCGGGGAGATTTAATGGAAAAGTATTAAGCCCTGCTTTTCGTGGTGTAGAAGGAGTGGCGGTGACTATGCAATAACATTCATCCAACCCGTGGATATCGACGCAGCTGCAACCGACCATTGTTTTTTTCTGCTAACGGGTAGATGCTTGTGGCATCTACTAATTGACATCACACCCGCGTTTCCTTACCAATCAGACCACCCCCTTAACGACATTTTCATACGGTCCCTGTTGGAGGTTCACTCGCGATGAGATGGACATGTGTCATCGCTGGGACGGATAGCGTAACGGTGTGGTGGGTCAACCGACACCGCAACTGAACATGTGACAACACGCCCGCCGTCTTGCACTCGTCGGGGCTAAAGCTGTCTGACCGGATCACGATTTTCCCACCGTTTTGGATATCCAAAGGCCACAGGATATTTTTGTGATCCTCATCAATTTGGCTGTCAGCATTGTCACGCTTCGAATGAGTCACTGCACATGGTGCGGCGATGGGGGGAGGGGGAGGGGGCCTGTAGACGAGGACCCATTTGGCAGTGGCCAGCGCACCTGGTCTATCTTTCGCGTGTTGCATTTTTACGACATGTAGTGGTTCGGCTTAAGAACACTACCTTTACGTTGTTTGATTACTGAGATGTCCTCATGTCGGCTAAGTGCTTTGCTGGTTACAAACAAAGAGTAAACGTCCGTCCCCGGTGTTCCGAGTACACGCTGAGTTGCAGTTGATACATGTGGGTATACTGTACATACCTGAAGCAACCAGGGCAATCACAACCACATTCTTCCCTGAGGTCAAGTTTTACTTCGTTTAAATGATCGGGAAGCTTCTCATTTCATGCTGATGACGAGAGACCACGCCCGGCGCCCGGAACCCGCCAGCACACTTCGCGCTGGAGCGGGGACCGGCTGAGGGCCCCTCTGAACTCGAGGCTCTGGGCCGCGCCGTAACAGCACGGTCCGGGCGGCACGTGCGGCCGTGCCGCTTCACTGGCGCTCGCGCTCGCGCCGCCGCCGCGCGACAACGGTGCACAACGGTGCCCGGAGACGGCGGCGGCGGCGGCGGCGGCGGCGGCGGCGGCCCCGGTCCGCGGCGTGCCGCCGGCGTCCGGCTGCGGGCCTCGACGGTCGGCTCCGCTCCCCGGCGTGCCTGTACCGTGCCTGCAGCTGCCCGACACGGCTGACGGTCCTCCACGAGCGTCGCGCGGGACCGGTCAGGCCGGCCGGCCCTATGTCGGGAGCGTGACGGCGTGCTTTTCCCGGCCATCTACCCGAAACGGCCACCTCTAGAGCCAACCTGTCGCCTGGCAGCAGCCTCGGGCGTCTGCGACCGGTCGCACATACCAGCCACGCCGCCTCCGTCCTATCCAGATGTCCGTCACTCCACCAAACTCATCACCAGGCACGTCCTTCCCAGACCATCGCGCACCTGGCGCGTGACGGGCCCGCCTCCCTCCCCGCGCCTCCGTCAGCGGTCCGTACCCGCCTTATCTGCCTCAGCCCCGTCAGAGCCCGCACCGAGAACGTCTCCTCCGTCGCTGACCTCGTCGGCGGAGCCCGTACCGAAAGCGTGCCCTCCGTCGCTGGCCTCGTCGGCGGAGCCCGCTCACCTGCCCTGGCCGCCTTCGCAGGCGCCCTCGCGGCTGACCTCGAAGCCGTCCGGGTTCATCGAGGGCATGATGTGGACGCGCGTGTTGTCCAGCAGCCAGCGCACGTACGGGTCCGAGTTGTGACGCCTCACCAGGTACTGCGGCACGGGTGTCGACGGTCAGCGGCGGCGGCAACTGCGAGCTGAGCACCAATGACGTGTATTGTGGCGAAGGAAGCGCCACAATACAATTGTGGCGAAGGAAGCGCCACAATACACACCACAATACACGCCACACTACACGCCACAATACACGCCGCAATACACGACACAACACACGCCACAGTCGCCACAACAATCAACTTTCCCTTTTGTCAGACCCTTGCTCTTTCATTTGGAATTCGTTATCAGGTTTCTTTGGGTCCTGCATGCGGTGAGCGAGGTGTTGCACGGCACACTGGCATTGATTTTCATTGTAGGGCCCCAACAGTTGCAGACGGACAGCTACGTAAAGGACGAGCAGCTACAACATACAAATTTCATAAGTATCAGGAGATATCACACGTTTTTTCACCCTGTACAAAAAAACAAAAACATTAGCGGCTGTCTCTGTAAGAGAGCGAGGACAGCAAGTTATTTTCGCGAACAAGTTAAACGAGTCCAGGACGGCCAGAAACGTCCAACAGAACTAAACTGGAGGCACAAGCACAGAGCAAGTGAACATGACCACGGGTCGAGTAAGACATCACGTGTCTCAGAATGCCACATCGCGGCTGGCTTGCGCCATGCAACCGCGGAAGAAGAGCCGTGTGCACTCCTTGGCACGTGCAGCAGCGGGGCCCGGGGCGCAAACGCTCAGCCAGACAGCATGACAATGAGGTGACTGCGGATATCCCATGTTTCTACTGACATAGCTCGCAGATGTAGGACAATGTGATGCAAGCCATGCTTGAGATAGCATGCACGGTTGGATGTTCGTGCCTTTCTGAGTGCAAAAAAGGGAGAAAACGGCTCCAGCGAAACGCCTAACATTTTAACCGCCCAGGCTTTCTATGGCTGAGTTATGGGCCCCAAGGCTCACAAACCCCATGTGAAGTTAGAAATACTTCCTCTACATGCCAGGTAAGTCTTTTAAAGCATAGTATAGTCTATTCAGTACAGATGCTGCACATTGCTTATCCATAATTGCAAGGAAACGTCCGCGTGTCAAAGCCACCGAAATGAACATCCTCGATGGAAAATACTGATTTATAGAGGCACGGCGCACGCCAGAGCAGGCACTGTCCCTTATGTCTGGGGAAAAACTGCGTCAACCTTACGACGCCCCGTGGCTATAAAACAAAGTATGTCGTCTCTACCGTCTGGACATCAGGCGCATTTCAATGAAGGACCGCGTGGCTCTACTTCGGCAGGCAGACCCGGCAAATCCACCGGCTTCACTGCCAGCCGGAAGGGCAGACCGGCTGACCGTCACACCGCCGTCCACTGGGCCGTGATACACTGACCACGGCTCAGTGGACGACGCGTCATTCGCATCGCGATAATTCGCCTCGAGCCAAATAAGCTTAGCGAACCGTTTCTGATGCGATTTAACGTACCAGAACATGCACGTATGCTTATACTATCCAAGATAACACATCTTGATCCGCCTTTCAAAAGGTTCAGCCCTTAACAGGTGGTAACAAGATAGTAACTGCTTGTGGCATTAATCGCAGGACAAGCGCTAATATCGGCACACTTCACCTAAGGCTAGCGGCTTCCGACCGGTTACAACTGGCCGGGCAGACCAGTGAATGCAGCCAGCATCACGCATGGGCCGTTGTAAATCTCTCGCGAGCTCCCAAATCCCCCATGAATTGGTTCGATCCCGCGGCTCGACAATAAACACTCATCACTGGCGGAGAGGGTGGGGTGGGGTTGGGGCATGGAAAAAGGAGGTCCCGGTTCGGTCTGGGGCAACACGTGACTCCAGTGCGTCACGGGCCGGCCCCGATCCGGGCTGAGGCAACACCTGACTCCAGCCCGTCACGGGTCGGTCCCGATCCGGGCTGAGGCAACACGTGACTCCAGCCCGTCACGGGCCGGTCCCGATCCGGGCTGAGGCAACACGTGACTCCCGGTCCGATCCGGGCTGAAGCAACACGTGACTCCAGCCCGTCACGGGGCGGCGTCACCGGGAGCGGGGCCGTGACGACGCGCCGGCCGTCAGGCGCTCGGGCCACTCCCAGTCCGCTGCCGCCGGCGGCGAGGGAGAGGCTCCTACCGTAACGGTGTGAGAAGCGGGAGGGGAGGGGCAGACCTTCACGACAGACATGGACGGGCAGATCTTCGTGCTGCACCGCAACGGGGAGATCTGCGGGCCGGCAACACGACCAGGGCCGGCCCGACTCCGGGATAACGGCCGTGAGATCCGATCCGAAAGATCAGGCGGCGGGCGTGACAAAAAGCGAGAAGGCAAGCAGGTGTGCCCGACCAACGGCTCAGCACACGGCGTCAGCGCTCTCGGGTACAGGCTACTTTATCAAACTATTGGTGTGCTATGGTGGCATATTGAAACCCGGCGCATACGTTTCACAAGCTATGCACGTCCGCATTGTTGGTGGAGAGGACGTGGACCACAATGCGCTTGGGCTGATGATGGACTGATCCGCGACCTGACACTGGGCCTGACCGCATGCCCATGGTACGTCGCTGAGCTGAGCGGACTCTTCGAGGTCTCCCGGTGGCCGACGTCCGGTGGTTACCGGATCAGTGGGCATCTCCAGACCACAACGAGGACATGACCCGCGCCCATGGGAGCAAAGGGTGCAGAGAGGGGGCGGGGGCTGTCTGGCACCGGGGCCACGTCTGGGAATTGCCAGATTTGCCGTCTGTGGCTGGGATTTCTGCCTGAGTCGGCCGTTGGCCTTGCCACCTGGTCAACGCAGGAAGAGGCGGACACCGCAGGCCAGCGCGGAATGTCGCCTTGACGGATCACGGCGGCTTTCTCAGCCCATCTCACTCGTAAACGAAAACAGACGTCATTGGTTACCCTGGACGTGGGATTTTCCGTGAAGCAGAGGTGCGGCCAAAGTTTTGGTAAAGGGAGAGGGGAGGAGGCGCAGAAGATGATGACATGCACAGAACGCGGTGCAAGATGACATGCACAAATCACAGAGCATGATGACAGAGCATGGTGACAAGATGACGATGAAAAGCTTCGGCTAAAAGTAAACAGTAAAGCCCACTTCACTTCAAAAGTGGTCTTTTTCGATGCGTCGTTCATTCAGTTCCATCGTTGGGCGCGTTCGTTGAGGGGCCCGTGAATTGAATACTGAAGCCGCTCTCTCCCTTTCTCGCCAGGGGCTGAAAGGACCTTCCGTTCCAGCCCGGCCGCATTCTAGCTACCCGGGAGCCGGGCGCCCTGGTCGATCCGGAGGCCCTCAAAGGTCACGTCATACAGCAGTGCCCTCCTGACGCTGCATACCCTCTGACCCACAACGGTTAGCCCCGGATCGACGCAGGGCTCCTCACTAACACAGGAGGATCCCTTTTCGACGCCGCAGGCACGATGATTGGCACAAGGACCCCACTTTGCCTTATCGAGTGATTGGCCGAAACTTGGCGGAGGGGCCTCATTCGCTACCAGGGCCCTTCCATAATCTCACCGTGGACTCCTGTACTGCCATTTAGCGTGTTTCCTTTCATTTTCAGGGGCCCAACCAACGCAAAAGGCCCCTTAATATTCCGAGTCTCGACTCTATCCCTGCGTAGCAAGTGTCTTCTGGCCGACTCAGGGCTCCTTGCTGACACAGAATCCGCTGTTAGGTACTTTGGGCTACCTGACCAACACAGGAGGCCCCTCACTGTCTCAGTTACCCCGGGTAATGACAGAGATCTCCTGACGGATGGTCGGGAGCTTTAGTATTGTTCCTGCTTGGGAAATCGACTCCCAGGCCGACACGGGGCCGTCTGTTCGGTCTGGGGGATCACTGACCGACAGAGGAGGACATTACATCGTCCCAGAGGCTCCCGATCGACGCGAGAGGCCCTCTGTCATTCGAGTCCGGGTTCTGCGGGTCGAGATCTCTCAATACGATCTCCAGCCAGCCCTTATGGGCCCTCTGGGCACCCTAATGGGGGCCTAATTATTGGCCCGAAGAGCCCTTCTGACCACTCGGGACGAAAGAGAGGGGGAGAGACACGGGCACCCAGTGCTGCCCTGTATGCGCCCCAGCCTCGACGTAATGGAGCAAACAGAGCTCATTTTGTAACAAACACATGGAGGAAGAAGCACCGATACGCTAGCCAGACGTGGAGTGTACATACGTGCATATACAGTGTACGACTAAGTACGCTGTGCGCCGCGTACCTCGATCAGGTGTATCAGCACTTCACGCCCGACCGCCTCGTTTCCGTGAATGTTGCCGACGTACTTCACGTTGGGCTTGCCGATCATGTGCTCGAACGGGGAGGACGACACCACCAGGACCCAGAGGTCACGACCTGTGGGGATGTGGCCGCAGGGTGAGACCTGCTGCAGCTGCGTCCGCCCCTGCGTGCACCTACGCACCTGACTTCGCACTTGTGTGAAATTCGCACACCGGAGCGCCGGCACAAGGCGATGATATCACGCGCCCCTGGGATTGAGTAGCAGGCCAGCCAGCGCTGCCTTTGAAAGGTGTAAGGCCGCAGACGCGGGCATTACAACGGGCACGGTTGGCTATTTGCCGAAATATGCCGAACATCACAACATTTGACGGGTCGCTAAATTCAACGACCACCAACAATACAGATTCTAAAGAGCAAAGAAAATGTCTTGTTCATCCGAAGTATTTCGTTGTAAAACTGTCTAGTTAATCAGACCCTGCAAACGGCAATTCACAATGCACACAACGTAGCATTCGTGCAGCAATCCACGCACTCTGATGAGAACATGCCAGCGGTAGCAGCAGCGCGCCCAACCCTCGACGGGTCACCGGGGTCAGGAAACGGGGCACAAACGCACCTTGCACGGACTTGCCGACCGAGTACAGGGCGGTGATCTCAGGGTACTCGGTCGAGATACGGCGCAAGTAGGCAGTCAGCTGCTCGTGGTCGTGGTAACTGAAGCCGACGGCGTCCGTCTCGCCGTCGGAGAACTGCGGGTCGTAGTCGGGCGGCGCGCGGCCGCCGGCCTGCCGGGCCTCGGCACTCGGGGGCAGCTCGGCGCCGCGCACCTGCTTGATCAGCATCACGTAGAAGTAGAGGAACGCCACCAGGAAGACGCACATGTACCACTTGGCCGTCCGCATGGCTGGTTGGCGTTGAGAGCCGCTGCCGGTAAGAGCAATCGCGCGTTAAAAAACGTTTACACATAAGCACCAACAAGGTCGCGAGGATAGCGACCAATCACAAAATTACCCGACACGAAGGTCTGCACTCAAGGTCGACGATGTATGTCGAATCTCAAGCATCAGTTATGCAATATGGTCGACAATGAAGCTGGCGGGAAGTTGGGGAGCCACAAAGCCCGGCTGACTCCTTTCAGACGAGGCGCCAAACATGGCCGTGGGAAAAGTAGCACACACAGGGCGGACAAAGCCCACGTGAGGCAACAGTCGTCACGCGTCACAGTGTGTGACCGTCTCTCGTTACAGGCCTTTCAGCCCAGCGTCCTTCGCAGTCTGAGGCCCGCGGGTGGTGACGACAAGTGCAGCAACTTTTACTTTCCACTGCGTGACGCGGCGCTAGCCCGGGCGAACGGCGTGCCGCGGGACGCCCGGCTCTGAACGGATGGAGCTCCCCCGCTCGCCCAGGCCCTCTCTTGGTAACGTCGGCTGGGCACAGGGGACCTACCCACACGATCTCTATCAAAAAATTTGTGTCGGTCTCGGTATCGGCCTCCTGTGTATGTACCAACGGTTTCCGGTGAATGTACCGACGGTTTCCGGCGTATGTACCTACGGTTTCCGGCGTATGTACCTACGGTTTCCGAGACCGGTGGTCGCTTCGCTGGAAAACACCAACCGTCCCAAAAGCGTCATCATGGGGCCGCACCGTTACCACACGGCGAGTCACCCTCGGCAAGTCTCCTCGAGACGGTAGATCAAACACCGTAGGGGCGGCTTATTTGGGCTGCGTTTTCCCAGGTGATGCTCATGGGATTGACACCACTGGCACGTTTTCCTCGCCCGAACTCCACAGCCAGCAGCAGTCGCGGCCTTCCCACGGTTTTCCCCAGTCTTACACGGCGGAAAGCAGCAGCAGTGAGCTGCCGGCCCCAACCGCGGGGTCGACTCGACATGCCCGCAAAACGGCTTACTTGGCTGCCAAGGAAGCCGCAGTCTAAACACGTTGTTTCCTACCGGAGCATTTTATGGGAAACTTGTTCAATTGACAGACGTTTCCGCCAGACACCTGTTGAGTGAAGAGCCGCATCCATCGCCGCAGCTCTCACTTTCCAGCTCCGGTTGTCAATTACAGTTACCACCTTCGTTCGAAGTTGCAGTGCCGGCTGATTTCAAGTGGGTTTAAGTTTCCTCGAGCTCGTGGGATCTGACCAGCATTTGATTCCGGAGCGAATTCGTCTCGAAGCCTCTCAGTGGTTTTCACATTCTCGTCGACTTCCGGAAGTGTTTTCCGGCTGACCGTTCTCGAAAAACAGTGTACCGGAGCCGAGCGTTAGCCACCGCACCCTGACCATCGCACGGAGGAATGCCGAACTCGTGTCGTATCTGGCCCGTTATCCTCGGGCAAAGAAACGATCAGTCATTGTGTCCCGATCCGGATTCTTTGCGCGTCAGATCCTCCCAAACAACAGGCAGGCAGGGCGTTTGAAAATTGCTGACCAAAAAGCCACTCTGAATCGCCGAAGACGCGCAAAATCTCTGCCATGACGTGTAGCAACCACATTTTTACGCGCTAAAATCGATTTCTAGATCGTGGATATTTACCCACATGTGTCTCAATGCAAGCTAAGATGTCACAAGGGAAGAGGGGCCGTACCTCGGTGCCCCTTGAATGCAACTATGCATGCATGCGGGGGTAGTCGCCACCCACATAGTTGCATAGGCGTACGTACCGTGCGGGCTAACGGGATTAACATCATCTTATGGTGACGTATACATCATACATCCCTTAACATCATCCTGTGGTGATGCATACGCATGACGGACTTGAAAACGCGGCGTAGTCCTTCTACCTCGTGGCACGTTCCTGTACTCCCGCTCACACCAACCTTCGAGCTATAAAATCCGCTTCTCAACTAACGCAATCCAGATCTACACCTAGATACCGCCAGTGGATCCTTGGTCTCATTGGATCCCGTAATGACAGAAGCCTGAATCAAGACCATAAGACCCGTTTTGGAGCCACGCCCGCAGTCCGCCGCTCATTCTGCGCGAGATTGCGGTGCGCGGACCCCGCCCCAATGAGTGTCGCTATCACCCTACATCGCCAGAACAGAGCAGGCGCGCCGGGAGGCACGGTCGCCGACGGCGCGGCGGGGGCGGTGATGGGCGGGGCGCCATTAGCCGGTTCCGTTGGCTCGCGCTGGGCGCTGCGCCGGCGTCCGGAGAGCTGAGTGGGCCGCCGCCAGGATGTGCTCCGAGGTCGGAGGTCAGCTGGCGGTCCAGGGCGTGGCAAGAGCGGCACAGAGGCCGACCACGAGTCTGTCTGTCTGTCTTTCCGTGGGCTGTCCGTTTGTCTTTCCGTTGCCGGCTCTCTCTCTCTCTCTCTCCCTCTCTTTCGCTCTCTTACACACACTCTCTCTCCGTCTCCGCCAGATTGGCTACCCTTCTCCTCCACGCCACGGCCATGTCGCAAATCTACAAACAACCCGTCCGGTTCCTTTCCCTTCGTGGATCTCCTTTCCCTCCACATATCTGATGCGTGTTCAGAGCAGCACGCTTAACCCCTTTGCACCAACTACGTCGTGAGCACACACCAGCACCTCAAGAGACACTAGCGAACACTAGCGGTGCCTGCGCCATGTTCGCCCATGCCACGCCGAAGACGAGCAACGCCTGCAGGCTGCTTCCGTGCTCGCCGATGTCATCCAGAAAACGGCTCCAGCGATCGGATGAGCCTAAGCTTGACGACCTCGGGGTCCCTCCACCACGGTACCGGTCGGTGTCACTTTCATTTGTGGACTGGCATGGGTGCGTGACAGGAGTCCCTACAGTCGTCGGGTTCAAAGTCACGAACAGCAGGCAACTGGGGCATCCGTTGAGCCGTCGTTGGACCGTGCTAAAGCGGTACGGAGCAGGCACTGTAAACGCAGACGCGCTGCTGTCTCTGACCTGTGACACACACTGTCTGCCAACACTTAAAAGGCGTTACCTGGAGCGCGTACGACAGCAGAGCCTACGTAACAGCTCGTGTTGACGAGGGGCGCGGAGAAGGTTCTCGACAGCCGGGAGCGGCGGCCAGCGCGGTATTGCGGACGGTCAGCTGACCCGATTTCTCCCGGCCCTGTGGACGGCGGCCCCCGTGCCCGGCACAGCAGCCGGTGGCAGATGACTCACGGCACTGGCTTGAGCTCATGCACGTGAATGCTCCCATCAAGTCGCTCGGGTGCGCAACGGATAGAGGTAATGTCGCGTCGGGACGGGTTCCCATGGTGGCCCCCCGGGGGAACGTGACCCCCCTCCGCCTTATCAAGTTCATGAGATGCTTTGATCCCTGAATGAGTGCTGTCGGTTAGCAATGCTAGATAGAGATCCGAAGAATGAGCACATGCCATGCTGTTTTACGTCACAGAGGAAGATTAGGTCGTCTGTGACGCGCTGAACTTGGTTTGCAGTGACAACTTTTGAGTTGTGGCCTTCCATCGAGAAATCCTGCATACGAGCCTGATATTGTGCGATAAAACGTCAGATCGTCTTTATGACATAGTTGAACATTTATTACATAATAGCATCTCACATTATCGTTGCACTATGCCTAAGCGCCCTTCGCTGTGCCGGGTTACGATTTCTTTAATGCATCACCCACCCATTATTAACTGAAAATGCCTATAATTATGTATCTTCCTTGTTGCTGGCAAGTCAGCGATTTCATGAGCAAAACATGGGAAACCGGATATTAACTCCATTTGCACAGACTTAAAAACTCAGGCAGCAAGGAGGGGCCTTCCATGCAAAGAGCACGACCCAGCTTCTACGAGTCACTCTCGTCGAGCTCGGACCCTCGTGCATTCATGACCACTCAGGGGTCAGCCGGCCACCGGCGGTCGGACAGATCAGTCTCGCTGATAGGCGGCGTCCGATCAGGCGCCGCACAGTGACTGGACATGCCGGGTCTGCAGAGGGCGCGGCCGAACCGAGTACGAGACCCCTGACCCCGCGCCGTTCCAGCATCACGCGTGGGATCCGCGGCGAATCCGTGCAAAACGCAGACATGTCGCACTGGCGAGGCACTGGTATCAAGTATAAAACCACTGTGTCCATCAAAAAAGCTTTCCCATTTTAACTTTCCTAAACAGAGAAAAATATCTTATTTGATTGCATTTTTTCAGCTCACTCACAACCGAACGAATGGCATCCCTAATTTTGAGCCTACCATTCGGACGTGATAGCATGGACTAAGTCTGCATAACAAACGCATCACCACCACCTGCTCTCGTCTCATAGCGCTCGAGTCGAACCCAGAGCTTTGCAGAATTATCGTGATCCCCAAACTCTTGGTAAGCAGAAAGGTACGGCACAACTCAAGACAGTGCGCCACAACTTGCTGCATCTTTAAGCTAACCATCCATATTTTGACGGGTCAAAGGCACAATGACGAACACCGAGTGCCAGGCCCAACGATGAAGGTCACCAGCACCGGATCATCACCGCCAGGGATTCAACACGAGCAGATTTCAGCACGGAGTGAAAGCTAACGCGTGCAAACAAGATCAATCAAATAACTGCGCTTGAAAAGCAGCAAACAGTTGCAGTTGCGCGACTGAGCCACAGGCAGCTGCGTCGAAGCAGTCAACAAGTGTTGTTGACGCAAGCGACACGGCTCAGCGGACGTCAGGGTTTCGGCACGTCCGATACGGCACGTCCGATGGTCCACAGCGAGTCACGCAGCTCTTAGAGACCAAAGCCGCCGGATCGCAGCCCACCTATGTGAAATCGAAACACGGTGCCCGCGATCCAGCTCGAAAGCCCAGCAGCTTTCACTTCACTATCCCCCAGAAATCAAGCCGAGAACCCTCACAACAAATTCCAACTCCAAGAATGTGTTGACGCCGGGTCGGCGGCAGGCCGCGGGTGCACCCCTTCCCGGCCCGGCGGGCAGCGCCGCAGCGCCTCACCGCCGCTGGAGCCACGCGCCGCCGCGCCAGG